ATGAGCTGGAGGAAGCAAATCGTTTGGCAGACCAGACTGAGATGGACAGGCTTGAGAGTATGGGAGTCTATGAAAACATAAGCCAGGACGAGATTGGAGATTCTGTGGTTTTGACGTGCAGATTTGTGTATGACTGGCGACGTGATCATCTTACTCAGCCGTGGTACAGAAGAAGCCGTTTGGTCAGCCGCGAATTTCGGTACAATGATCCAAGGAGGATTGATTTGTTTGCGAGAACATTGCCCCCATATGCAGCAAAGGTGTTGGTGTCTTGGGGTCTTCATGCTTTCTTAATGGTGAAGCAGACAGTTCCAACCGTGGTTCGTTTGCCAGGTACAGACAGATGGGCAAGGTTACATCGATTGCTCCCAGGGCAAAGGGCAGCAGCGCATGACTGGTCTTGCAGAAGAAGACTCCATGCCCTGCCTTATTCACGGGTGATGGACTTGCAGTTGCAGTTCATGTGGGAGCAAGCGATTGACGAATTGCTCAGACATTTGGAGACTGAGAAGCTCAAGGTCAAGTCCTCAGGTCCTTTTCGTCAGCTAGTTATGTGACGGTCAATGCGAACAGCAAGTGCAAGAAGAAGCTTGAGGAATGGATGGAGCAAAGGCATGGGAGAAGTGTGAAAAGGAGGAAAACACCTCTACCCACGGGGTACATCCCATTGCCAGTGCATGTGAGCTTTGTGCGGAGGATGTGGAGCAGTTCCAGAAAGCCACAGGACTTATGCTTTACATCATGATTGACAGACCGGATTTGCATTTTTGCTTGAAGTGTCTTTCAAGTAACATGAGTAGACCAGATGCTATGGATTTGAAGGCACTGGAGCATGCGGTTTCATATGCAATTTGCAACTGGGACATCGGTGCCATGATTGTGAACAACCCTCCAAGTACTAGCCTTTTGGATTTGAACCAGTTGGATGAGGAGCCGCAGTATGCATTCTTGAAGAATGAAGGCAAGAACCTTGGAATGTCTCAGGACACAATCGAGGTTTTCTGTGATAGCGATTGGGCAGCAGATCGGCATGGGAAGAGTTGTTCAGGTGCAGTGGTTTGCTTGAACGGGTCAGTGATGACCTATTACAGCCGGTCTATTACAGCCGGTCTCAGAAATGCGTTTCAACATCAAGTGCAGAAGCAGAGTTTGTAGCAGCTGCCGCCGCATTGCAGGAAGCGATTGGCAGCGCATCTTTGATTCACTCAAAGGGAATTTGCAAGATGATGGTGAATTGACAGTGGACCAATCCAGATCTTTGAAGAGATCAATGCTAGTTTTGAGGACTGATTCTTCAGCTGCAAAAGCAATTATGTGCCGAGTCGGAACAGGCAAGTTGAAGCACATTGCTATTTCACTCTTGTGGGTGCAGAGTTGGGTACAGCAGCGAAGAGTTTTGATCAAATCAGTTGGTACACTGGTCAATCCTGCAGATTTGTGTACAAAGGCATTGAGTATGAAACGTGTGCAATTTCTGTTGGGATTGATGAAGACAATCACATTTGCAGACGGCCAGATTGAGCGCCTTGGAAGAGAAGAGATGTATGAAGAAATGGCAAAGCAGGACAAGAAACTTACGTTCAAAGAAGCATTGAGTATTTTGCGTGTGGAGAATGCAGCAATCATGATGCCAGAGGTGAAGCGCATTGCCAGAGTGATTACGTTTCTTACAACACCCACAGTTGCTATGGGCACTGAGGAAGTACATTTCACAGGTGGCAATATGCGTGATCATGGAGACGGCATTTTTATGTGGTTTGTGGTATTCTGTATTTTCTTTACAGTTGTATCCATGACCATTTCAATGTGTGCATTGCTGTGTTGGGTTTACCAGAAGATTGCGAGCAAGAAGATCATCATCGTCGAGATGTTTGATTCATCATCTGATGAAAAGGATGAGAAGAAGGAGAAAGAGGCCGAGCCAGAGATTCCTTTGCCTCAGCCGAAGGTTCGTCTTCTTGCGAGGAATGCCGGACAACAGCTTGGATACGAGACCGTTTTTGTCACTCACACTGATGTCGTTCAGACCATCCAAAACATGTCCTGCACCTTCCTTTTCCTCTACGCTCAGCTTCTTCTATAGAAACCTCCCAAGCTTCTCGATTGCAAAGCCACTTGCAATGAGTCTTGTGATAGAAACCACCTGTCCTTGTCGAAAGCCTCTGGGTGCAGTCGCAGATCGCATCCGCACTGATAAAAGGGTGGCGCCCCGCGAGACCCCAATCACGCGGCGGCCAGCATGCAGTTTCGAAGCTGCATTCCGCAGACACACTTCACAGAGCAGTGGCAGCCGGGACTTTTCAGGATGAGACGAGTTTGAGAGAAATGCGGGCCGGTTTTCAGTGGAGTGGTCGTGTGACAAGCCTTTGGGTCAAGCGGGCTATGAATTTGCGCATTTTGTGCAGTTTGAGTTTGACAAGATCAGAGACTTGAGCATGTGGCAAAAGCACCATACACTCAGCATGATATATTTCCTGTTTTTGGACAGCTGTGATGGTGATGTCAGTGAGATGAGATTCAAAGAATCAAATCTCAGGTGGGGTGTTGACATTTTCACTCCATACACGTATGTTTGACCACATGTAAATAATCATGTGGAACCAGTTGAGCTTGGCATGAGACATGCCTTAAGCCTTTGGATGCATGAGGGCTCAAGATGACAGCCTTTGGAAAGAGAGATAAAAGTGCTTGAGTGTCGGGGTTGTGTTTTCAAAAACAGCACGAACGACAAGGACGAGCCCCTCAGTCGGACGACTTGCCCCTCCAGATCGGTCAGCCGGAAGCGCATGTGTCTCAGGGTGATGGGGCCCCTCACAGCCATGCTGACAAACTCGAAGACCTGCTGCCCGCCTGAGGCGAAGCTCGGGCCGAGCATGTGGTCCACGCTGAAGGGCTTGGTCGGAGAGGCGGCCGGCGAGGGAACTGCTGCTGCAGCTCCAGGTCGTTCAGGATGAGGCGGTTGCCGTCGTAGGCCACGCTCAGGCTGTTCGTGGTCTCGCCGTAGGTGGCTGTGGCAAAGTTGGAGCTGATCCAGGCGGCCAGACGGGCGCTCGTGGCAGGAGAGCCCAGTTCAGAGTCCCAAGCGCGGCGTCGACCCTAGCGGCCCCGGTCTGTCGAGAGGAAGCTGTCCGCGATTCTGATCTTGTAGACGGCCAGCCGGGCGTCGCTCTGCAGGTGCAGGGGCTCTCCCAGGTCGACCTCGAAGTCGCTGTCCGAGCCGGCCACCCTCTTGCGACTATCCGGCTTCTTTTTCCAGTGCGAAACGACGGCATCCAGCTTGTGCTGGTTGACCCGCACGGCTGTGCTGATGAGCCTCAGCTTCTGGAGAAGCTCACCCAGGTGCTGATTTGCATGTGCCGGCCTCGGATGAAGAGCGTCTCAAGGGCGCTGTGAGGCTTGTGGAGCTGCGGGCTATCTGCGTAGTCGTCCAGGATAATCAGCACCTGGCACAGTTTCTTCTTCTTGGACGTCTCGGTGATCTTGCGCTGCCTCTGGATGATGCCCCGCAGCGCCGCAGCGCCGCCTCGTCCCACTCGTCGTAGTAGGCCTGCTCGCTCCGTGTTCACCCCCAGGTCCTCCTCTATGTACTTCTTGACGGGGATCCAGCTATCGTCGATGTTTACGCTGGGGCTGAAGATGTAGATTTTCTCAAAGACTCCGCGATATTGCTCCAGAATCATGCTGATCAGCGCCACGATCTCGCCGGATTTAGATGGTCCGAGGAAGATGCCCGTGCATGGTACCTGGGGCGCCACGGGGTCCGAGGGCTGCTTACTGGTATACTCTGTCGTATAGGAAACAGCTTGATCTTCCTCATTTGCCTTACTTCCCAAATTCGACGTCGGGAAGCCGGGCGGTGAGTCTGGGAGATAGCTGCTATTCGACAGGCTCCCAGAGTTTTCCGGGATAAAGCTAAAGGCCTGCACCAGGGCAATCCTGTTGCCAACGCAGGATTGAGTGGAGCAATCCTGTTGTCAACGCAGGGTTGAGTGGAGCAATCCCGTTGTCAACGCAGGATTGAGTGGAGCAATCCTTTGTCAACGCAGGATTGAGTGGAGCAATCCTGTGCTCGGCGCAGGATTGACTGAAAACTCCGCCAGCGCCCCGGCGAGAAGCAGGCCGCTGACAGACCTTCGGCGCTGCGGCAGTGGCCCGCAGGCCCGCACCAGGCAGGCCCGCAGGCCCTCGGTCCGCACCAGGCCCCAGGCCCGCACCAAGCCCGCACCAGGCCCCAGGGGTGCTGAAAAATTCCGACCTCGGAATTCCGACCTCGGTGCTTTTAGACCGAAGCCGCTTTTCCAAGTGCGAAAAAAGGCTCCAGTGGTTTTGTCTCTGCACCACCTGCGGCCCGGGCATTAATGAACCAACCTTGCCCAAAAATGAAGCAGCCCGTTCCATTGAAGTCCTCTGGAACTTGGGTACTTGGCCGCTTTTGCGCCCTTTTCGACGGAAAAGAGAGCGGTGACGAAGCGGTGACAAGCGGTGAGAAGCTCGGCGGGATGGAGTTCGCCTGTTTTCCGGGCTGAAAGCGGAATCCTGAGCAAAGTGAGCGTCTAGAGCCTCTTTCGACCGGAAACGAGCGAAACTCGAGGCTCAGGCATGCGCTTGCCGTCTGACACGAAAAAACGAACTTTTCGGAGTTGGCCGTTTTGAGCGCTTTTTGCACCAAAAACGGAGCGGTGACAAAGGCGGTGACAAGTTCGGCGGGCTGACGTGTCACAAGCCGAAACCTCGGCGGGCTGCGTTCCGAGCGAGGTCCTCGTGGCCGAAAACGAGCGAATCTGGAGGCTCAGGCGCCACACTTGACGTCTGACAGGAAAAAACGAACTTTTCGGAGTTGGCCGTTTTGAGCGCTTTTTGCACCAAAAACGGAGCGGTGACAAAGACCGGTGACATCGGAAAAACGTTCAGCTGGATGGAGAATTCGGCTGTTTTGCAGGGTTTGGGGACCAAAAATCCCAAATTAATTGGGTGCAATACTGATGTTCCTTACTACTAAGGCGTGGTTTTGATTTCCACTGCCGATAAGACACCTTTGCAAGCCACATTCTGGCCGGGCGAAGTTTTGCAGGCAGCAATCTTTGCAGAGACTTGTTTGCAAACTGGGCGGACAATGGTCTTTGTGTGGCTTCTTTGCACTACAGACAGGCCTGGCATCTTTGCGAACTACAGTCTGGCCGGGGATTTCCCTTGAGACATCTTTTAACTCACACAAGCCGGGCGAAGTTTTGCAGAGACTGGCCAGGCGGAGTTTTGCAGGCAGCAGTCTCGTTGAAGACATCCTTGCGAACAGGCTGGCCGTGCGAAGTTTTGCAGGCGGCAGCCTTTGTGAAGACATCTTTGCAAGCTACAGACTGGCCGGGCAAAGTTTTGCAGACAGCAGTCTGCAAACATCTTTGCAAACTGCAGACTGGCCGTCGGAGTCTTGCAGGCAGCAGTCTTGTGAAGACATTTTTGCGCACAGCGGCCGGGCAAGGTTTGCTGACAGCAGTTTTTGGTGTTGCCATCTTTGCAGACAGCAGCCTTTGTGAAGACTCTTTGCAAGCTACCGGGCGAAGTTTTGCAGACAGCAGTCTTTGCAGAGACATCAATGCAAACTCTTTGCAAACTCAGACACCAACCTGCTGGTTGCTGTCGTTGAGCTGCAGGCTCCAACGATTGCGTACTCTGCCCCGGTGGGCTGTTTCATTGAGGTGAAGGGCGTGGTTTGATTTCCACTGCTGATAAGACACCTTTGCAAGCTACATTCTGGCCGGGCGAAGTTTTGCAGTTTGCAATCTTTGCAGAGACATCTGGCTTCTTTGTACTACAGACAGGCCAGGTGGAGTTTTGCAGGCTGACATCTTTGCGAACTACAGTCTTCCCGGGCGAAGTTTTCCCATTTCTACAGACATCTTTGCGAGCTACACACTAGCCGGGCGAAGTTTTGCAGAGACTGGCCAGGGGAGTTTCGCAGGCAGCAGTCTCGTTGAAGACATCCTTGCGAACTACAGGCTGGCCGTGCGAAGTTTTGCAGGCGGCAGCCTTTGTGAAGACATCTTTGCAAGCTACAGATTGGCCGGGAGAAGTTTTGCAGACAGCAGTCTTTGGGCAAACTTCTTTGCAAACTGCAGACTGGCGGTCGGAGTCTTGCAGGCAGCAGTCTTGTGAAGACATCTTTGCGTACTACAGACTGGCCGGGCAAGGTTTGCTGACAGCAGTTTTTAGTTCAGACATCTTTGCAGGCAGCAGCCTCTGTGAAGACATCTTTGCAAGCCACAGACTGGCCGGGCGTAGTTCTGCAGACAGCAGTCTTTGTGCAAACATCTTTGCAAACTGCAGACTGGCCGGTCGGAGTCTTGCAGGCAGCAGTCTTGTGAAGACATCTTTGCGTACTACAGACTGGCCGGGCAAGGTTTGCTGACAGCAGCTTTTAGTTAAGACATCTTTGCAGACAGCAGCCTTTGTGAAGACATCTTTGCAAGCTACAGACTGGCCGGGCGAAGTTTTGCAGACAGCAGTCTTTGTGCAAACATCTTTGCAAACTGCAGATTGGCCGGTCGGAGTCTTGCAGGCAGCAGTCTTGTGAAGACATCTTTGCGTACTACAGACTGGACGGGCAAGGTTTGCTGACAGCAGGTTTTAGTTAAGACATCGTTGCATACTGCAGACTGGCCGGACTTCTTTGCGAACAACAGACTGGCCAGGCGGAGTTTTTTTGGCAGGCAGCAGTCTTGCTGAAAACGTTGCGGATTACAGGCTGGCCGGGCTGAGTTTTGCGGACAGCTGCCTTTGTGAAGACATCTTTGCAAGCTTCATACTGGCAGGGCGAATTTCTGCAGGCAGGTGTTGCAGGCAGCGCACTGGCCTTGGTGTGTTCACGCTGAAGGAAATGAATGGGCTTCAGGTCTCCACGTCCTCAAGGAAATGAATGGTCTCCTGGCTTCCACGTCCTGATGGGTGCTGATGGCCGCTGTTGGTGCGACGGTGTCGCTGTTGAGGCTAATTCGGAGATGGTGCATGTGTGAGTGCTGACCTCAGGTTGGCTTGGCGCTGCTTTCTAGCTTTTGGCGCCCCCCTTTTTTGGGGGTTTTGGTGGTTGTTTGGTTTGTTTGGTTTGTTGTTTTCGGGTTTGTTTCCTGGTTTTGGTCCCTCTTGCCTTTTCCGCAGCTCGCCTAATTTGGCTGTGTTGCGCATGTTAATGTTTTGTGCCTCCACGTCGGGCCCCGGATCTTATGTAGAGGATCCGTGTCTGATGGCGTGCGTCGGCAGTGCCTTGAATATGCTTGGTACTCCCTTCTTGCATGATTGTACAGGCTTCGCTTTTCGGCTCGTCTTTGTCCGTGTTTTTGTTTGCCTGTTTGCTTGCTTGTCTTGTTTTGTGTGGTTTCTCTGTTGTGTGCTGATCGAGCCTGGGCACTTTTTGAGGCACACGCACCCCTCGCACCTTTTTTGCGTTGTAGCCGTTTCATCCTTTTCACACAGAGTTGCTTGATGCAGACGTGCGCTCGACGCGGATCGCTGCTAAGGGGCAAAAAGGTGCAGAGCACTTGCGCAGAGCAACCTGCACAGAGCACTTGCGTGCAGCGTGCAGAGAGCAACTTGCCTGAAAGCAGCCTGGAACAATGCAGCTTGCGCAGACCACTTTCGTGAGAAATCATGCAGCGCAACTTGAGCAAAGCACATTGCGCTGAGCAGACTTGCGCAGAGCCACGCTTTATAGAGCCAAGTTGCGCAGAGCCACTCGCGTAAAGTAGCTTGCGCGCGCCAGGTAGCAGCGCGCCAAGTTGCGCAGGAGCCGGTTGCTGTTGGCTTGTTTCTTTTGTTTCGTGGGCAGCGCCGTCCTTCACGTTAAATTTGCCTGCAGTGTTTGCAAAGAGTGTTTGGCACATTTCCACATGCAGCATTAAAGCAAGACTTCTCAGCAACAGCCTTTGCGCCCGGCAGCCGTTCCAGCGTTTTTGGAGCGCTGCGTGCACACTTGAGTTGAGGATCCGCATGAGTTGAGGCTCGGTTTACCTTGAGACATGCTTTTGCTTTTGCGCCGTCAGCAGCATTTTTCGGAGCCCCACATGTAGAGCGTTAGAGCAAGACTAGCCAGCAGCAGCTACATTTTCTACAAGCTCGCCAGATCGAAGCCACCGCATCGAGCGTGTTGGGCGTCCCAATAGTGTAGTAAACCGCCGCATCGAGTGTATTGCTTGCATGGCGCGCGGCGAAGGTGACGCGCTGCAGCGGCTGTCCAAGGAGCAGGCAGGGCCCAGACAGGAGCAAGACACAGGCACGTCGCTTCACCTGCTTCGCGTTGTCGTGCTTCAGCCATGCATGTGGAGTTTTGCGGGTTAGCAAGTGAACGCACGAGTGAATGCACGACCAGCGAAGCTTCGGTGTTCGATAACACTAGCTATAGGCCAGTAGCTGGACGCAACATGTCCAAAGCAGTGGCGCAGCGCACTTCCGAGGAGCAGGCGCGATGAGGCAACGATGCCGCGTTGCTCAGTTGGGCTGCTGTTGCTGCGCAGACCTCCTGTGGCGTTGTCCCGTTAAAGCCGAAGTCCATGTGGTTTCCACAGATAGGGCATAAAACAATTCGACGCGAAAGCGGAGCTGCTAGAGAAGGTGGCGCAGCACGTTTCCGAGGAGCAGGCGCGATGAGGGAGCGACGCCGCGTTGCTCAGTTGGCCTGCTGTTGCTGCGCAGACCTCCTGTTGTGTTGTCCCGTTAAAGCCGATGTCCACGTGGTTTCCACAGCATAGGTCAGTCCTGGGGCCTCCAAACGATTCGATCGCATTGGCTATGATAGGCCAGTGTTCGGGCATCTTTTGTGTAGTTGTGACTCGCGTCTTTTGTGTAGTTGTGGCTCAGGATCTTGCGGCCACCGAGTCGCAGCAGCTGCTGGACTCTATGCGAGAAGGCTTTGCCGCACGGGGAGCTGGCCAAGCAGACCGCCGTGCAGCTGCGACAGCTTGCTGGCGCCGCGGGCGTGCAGCAACGTGAAGCTGGACGCAAAATGAAGGTGGCGCAGCACGTTTCCAAGGAGCAGGCGCGATGAGGGAACGACGCCGCGTTGCTCAGTTGGCCTGCTGTTGCTGCGCAGACCTCCTGTTGCGTTGTCCCGTGGAAGCCGATGTCCACGTGGTTTCCACAGTCCTGGGGCATAAAACAATTCGATCACATTGGCTATAATAGGCCAGTGTTGTGGCACCTGTTGTGTAGTTGTGACTCGCATCTTTTGTGTAGTTGTGGCTCAGGATCCTAGTCGCAGCAGCTGCTGGACTCTATGCAAGAAGGCTTTGCCGCACGGGGAGCTGGCTGGCTGCGCGAAGAGCTGGCCAAGCAGACCGCCGTGCAGCTGCGACAGCTTGCTGGCACCGCGGGCGTGCAGCAACGTGAAGCTGGACGTAACATGTCCAAAGCGGAGCTGCTAGAGAAGGTGGCGCAGCACGTTTCCAAGGAGCAGGCGCGATGAGGGAACGACGCCGCGTTGCTCAGTTGGCCTGCTGTTGCTGCGCAGACCTCCTGTTGTGTTGCCCCGTTGAAGCCGATGCCCACGTGGTTTCCACAGCATAGGTCAGTCCTGGGGCATAAAACAATTCGATCACATTGGCTATGATAGGCCAGTGTTGGGGCATCTTTTGTGTAGTTGCGACTCGCATCTTTTGTGTAGTTGCTGCTGGACTCTCTGCGAGAAGGCTTTGCCGCACGGGGAGCTGGCTGGCTGCGCCAGGAGCTCACCAAGCGGGCCCGCGCGCAGCTGCGACAGCTTGCTGGCGCCGCGGGCGTGCAGCAATACGAAGCTGGACGCAACGCGCCCAAAGCGGAGCTGCTAGAGAAGATGGCGCAGCACGTTTCCGAGGAGCAGGCGCGATGAGGGAGCGACGCCGCGTTGCTCGGTTGGGTGGCTTTTGCTGCGTGCAAGTTTACAGCGCGATATGCGCTGTGCTGTTTAGAGACGGAGTGCTTGGGTTCGCGCGCGCCTCCGTATTCTGTCGGCCTGAGGATACTGCGGGGTAGTTGCACTGCGAATGCTGAGCCGTGTTTACAAGGATTGGCTATGGAGCTGGAGAATTGTCATGGCTTTGTGCCCGCTGGCTGCTCCAGGCGCTCAAGCGGACATCAAGTACCACGTATGGCGATTGCTTCGCAAGCTGCGTGATGCCGGAGCAGAAACTGCTGAAGCTGTGGCTGCTGCTCGGGACATTGTCGAGTCCTCGAACTTGCGCAGGGCTGCGGCGGCGTACTGTTTGGATGTCACCGTGGAGGTCACTGCTCTGCTGCTGAAGAGGCGCGGATACTCGCCACAGGAGTTGTCAGCGCGTTGCAGCAGTGGCCTGCAGTGGAGGCTGCGCTGGCCACGCAGGTCGCTGTCACGTGGGAAGACGCTGTCTGGCCTGTGTGTTCCTTTGCAGCACGGACGCTTGCGGTGACTAGCGAGCAGGCTGGATCTGTGTACTGTAATAAGTGTTTTTGTCTGCTGGTTCGGACGTCAAGGGTGCAGCTTGCGTTCTGTGTTTTCTGCGCCTCTTCCTGAAGAGCATGCCAGGCAGGCTGGTGGCGGCTGGCAGACTGCCAGGAGAGGGCAGACCCTGTCGACGTGGCCTCGCGTCTTTGCTTTCTGGCCAAGTTGGACGAAGAGCCGCCTGCTGCTGACACCGACGGCTACGAAGATCGCAAGGATGTTTTGGAGGCGCGTTTGCCTCGGCTTGGGTGACTGCTGCGGGTCAAAACCTTGACTTGTCAGGTTCGGGTTTGAGTAGGAAGTGAGGGGGGCACACATTTGCGAGCGCAACCTGACTAACGCAAGATAGCTCGTAAGCCCGCGCGAGCTATCCCGCGAGCATCATCACACGCGCAGCAGCAACATCGCCAGCATCGCCAGCATCACCAGCATCGCCCGCCTTCGGAAAAACCCGCGCGTGCCAGGTCGCAGCGCGCAAGTTTCTCTGTACCGCCTTCTAGCTCCATTTATCGCGGGATGAAGCCCTTCTCCGGGGGAAAAATGCCTCGCGCAAGAAAGGGGGCGAGCTTCGAGGTCGCCTGTATGTTTCAATTTGTTCTTGAGATTTCTGACCGCAGGCGGTCCTGTGCATGCTGAAGCACAAGTACCGGTCCCGCAAGTTCGACGAAGGCGACACTGCGCTGCTGCGGGCCCTGATGCGCCGGTATGGTTGGGACCGACGCTCGGAGCAGGGAGGAACTTGCAGATGGTCCCAGACCTTCAAAGACGTGCGGAAGTCGGAAGATTGGTCAGCATTTGCCTGGTTCTTGGCGGTGGAGCTACTACATCCTCTGGCTAGCATTGGCGTTCGTGACCTGCACAGCCCCACTGCGGTCGCCGAGGCAAGGGGCGGCGAGGACGGCATCGACACTGACGCGCGTCAGCTGCGGGATGACCTGATAGCTTGGCAAGTGGTCGAGGCTGCTCCCGCATCCCGTCCTTGGAGGAGCATCCGCAGCTGGCCAAGCGTGTTGAGAGGTACCAGACGAGCGGCGCCAGCGCCCGCCTCAAGGCCTTGAAGAAAGCATATCCGCCGGACTTCGCTCCGCTGGCAGCTTTTGCCCTGGATTGCTTGACAAGCATTACCGCAAATGAAGCACTTACTAGCATTTTTTCTTTATAACATCCTCTCTGACTTCAGTCATTTTCTCAACGAACTTATCCATACAATCTTCGCCTCTGTATAAATAGGGCTCACTACTTCCAGTGATGGCATTGACTACATTAATCAGAAAACCACAAGGCCGATGATTTTGACACGATGTTGTTGTCGCTTTTGTCGATTTGCTTTTTTAACATCAGTTGGTACTGTTAAACATTCAAAGTCTGCATATATGACATAAGGCGTTTTCAGTTTCTTAAAATGGTTCTTAAATTCGATGGTGGCTCCTGCTTCTGGCATCTTTATTTCTTGTCCTTCAACAGCAAGACAACCCTGTTCTTCGTGTTGTTTTAATAACTCTTCTGACTTGAGCCCGTGTGAGCACGTCCTACAGTGATACTTTGGTAATTGTTTGAAATAATTCATTCTAGAAGCAACGCCCCACAAATCATTTGAGTCGTAGGAACGTTCTGCCTGTGGAGCCCTTTTACATTCAACATTTCTATGACTTCTCAGAAGCATAATTGTTATATATTACAACTAGATTATTATGTAAAACATCGTTGAAGTTAATGTATTTATTTTATCTGATTTATCTTGCTTTTTCTTTTGTTTAAGTTCTTCGTAATGTAGGGTCAATAGTTCTGTCGCCGTGGGTTTCTTAACGGTTTCTTTAGTCACTTCTTGTTGAATTTCATTCT